CTTCAGGAGACGAGGCTGCGGCGTGTCGGGATCGGTCTCTTCCTGCGCACAAGGTGTCGCGGTGGGGAAAACAAACAAAGTAGGGTTTAGGGTTTAGGGTTTAGGGTTTAGGGTTTAGGGTTTAGGGTTTAGGGTTTAGGGTTTAGGGTTTAGGGTTTAGGGTTTAGGGTTTAGGGTTTAGGGTTTAGGGTTTAAGCCAATCCGTTCAAACTGTGCCGAGAACGCCGGAACGAGAAGCGTCGTCTTCCTCGCCAAACCTACTTGGAAGTTCAGGGTACTTTTGTAACTGCACGTATAAGCCCCCTAGTCCTCTAAGTAGGTTATACGTAGACTTACTTTAGGGCCTATCAGTACCCATCAGCCTACAAGTAGTGCGCTTATGGAGATTGCGGCCAGCTACAATGTCAGAGTGGTATCGGGCTTCCCAAAGCTTCCAAGAACCCTAAACCCTAAACCCTAAACCCTCAACCCTCAACCCTAAACCCTAAACCCTAAACCCTAAACCCTAAACCCTAAACCGTGCGAGCTCCTCCAGCGAAGGCCCCTGGTCGCCGGTGTTCTGAACCTGAGGGATGCTGACGTCTTCAGAGCTCGGCAGTAGGGTTTAGGGTTTAGGGTTTAGGGTTTAGGGTTTAGGGTGCAGGGTTTAGGGTTTAGGGTTTAGGGTTTAGGGTTTAGGGTAGCACCCTGCAAGGTTTTCGTGCTGGAGGGATTTGAGGGTTTAGGATTTTGAGGTTTGCGCGCCTCAAGCGAAGCCATCCTCAAGGTGGTCGGTGTCAGGTGTGAGAGAACCGCCGAAAACTCCACCTGACTATGAGTGTGTGTACTAGTATTGGGTATCTACCTGAGGCTTAAGATTTTGGGGTTCTCGGTTTATGGTCGTCCTGAAAGTTTTAGGGTGTCAAGCAAGGGCTCATAAACTTGGAGCAACTGACCCTAAACCCGAAGCACATCCCCAAGCCTCTCCCCATCCCCCCCCCCCTCCCCCCCACTCCCCTCCCCACCGTCGGGGATGCCTGAGGCTGTAACAGTTAAGCCGACAACTCCATTAAGATTTGAATCAAGCGACTGCAACCTAAGCCCCACACAACCCTTTCGAATCCCTAAGGCCCTGAGCACCCCTGAGCCCATGGAAGGCTTAAACTCTGCCGCTGTCCTTGCTAGACGAAGCCCTGACGCCCAAAAATCACACACACACAGCGCCTAAACCCTACAATCAGGGTTTAGTCATGGGGAGCGTTGGGCTCTGATGCATTTTCTCGGGCTTTTGAGGGGTGAAGGGTGTCACCAAAAAAGCCCTACACCCGAAGCTCGAAAGGGTTTAGGGCTTCAAGGTTCAGGACTTCGGGCGATCCTTGAACCCTAGAGCCCTGAACCTTGAGCCCTCTTGCTAAAGCAATGAAGCCCAAAGCCCTCTCTAAGCTTCAACAAGAGGGTTTCCGAAACGAATAGGTCCCGCTGAGACCCCCAGCAGAGTACAAGTCCGCCTGCTCAGCCCGCGGATGGCCCATGCTGAACTCATGGAGGTACGGTATGTAGGGTTCAGGGTTTAGGGTTTAGGGTTTAGGGTTTAGGGTTTAGGGTTTAGGGTTTGGGGTTTATTTAGGGTTTAGGGTTTAGGGTTTAGGGTTCAGGGTTCAGGGTTCAGGGTTGAGGGTTTAGGGTTTAGGGTTTAGGGTTTAGGGTTTAGGGTTTAGGGTTTAGGGTTTAGGGTTTAGGGTTTGGGTTCTGCACCCGATAAACCCTAAGCCCTAAAGCTAAAAACCCCAAACCTTCGATAACTTGCGTGATGCTGCTGAAAGGTGGAGTGGCACAAAACAACTCTGACGGCGAGCATCCGTATTTAGAAGCCCATTTTAGTTCCCATGTGGGTGTGTCTGACTTTATCGCCGTCTACCAAGAACAGCTGGTAGCCAAAGGAAGGCCACAGAGTCATCCATCAAGAGAAGATGTCCTCTTGTTTGATAGCAATGAGGTTTAGAAGGGAATTTAGCCCAACAAGGAAAAAGGTATCAGGGATCTAGAGCAGCGGACGTGCGATGACTCGACACACATATACCGCATACCAAGCTCAGAAAAAACAGCGAACTGGAGAATAAGAAACCTAAACCCTAAACACGAAACCGCAGATGTTTCCCATCTTGTCTGGACTCTTTGCCAGGATATCCGCCAAAAGTACTCGCAGCCTCAACTTGTGGAGGCCCACTATACACAAAACTGTTCGACATCGGTAGACTCGGGTGCTTAGGGTTTCGGGTTTAGGGTTTACGGTTTAGGGTTTGTTTGCATCCCAACTTGTGCAAAGAATCTAGGAAAAAAATCTGGCGCGCTGGCTTTGTGCCAGCAAGCTGCCAGGCCCCCTTTGGGCAAAGTGCCGAAGACCAAGCCGCACCCGGAAGCATCATCCTACATCGACGGCCAAAAAGGCTCCTGAGCCTCAAACCCTAAACCCTAAACCCTAAACCCTAAACCCTAAACCCTAAACCCTAAACCCTAAACCCCAAACTAGGATGGCCCGCTGCTCTTAAACCCAAGAAGGGAAAATGTAAAATAACCCAAGGGCCTACCTAGTACTACTTACTTAAGAATCCCCTAAGAATGAAAAATCGTAATCCCTAAGCCTAAGCCCTAAGCCCTAAGCCCGAAACCCTAAACCCTAAACCCTAAACCCTAAACCCTAAATCCTAAACCCTAAACCCTAAATCAAAGCTCTATTGGGGTAGGCGGGCGCAGTCGAGCGCTCAGCGAGACCACGGCAGGCTCTGCTAGGCTGCAGAGCCTGCCAAGCACACTCCTGTGACAGGGTCGCCTGGCTTGGTCGCCAAGCTCGTCTCAGATAATTCAGGGAGTGGATCCTTTTTCAATTCCTGGCGGCCCGGCCAGGGCCAGACCCAGGGCCAGGGCCTGGCCCTGGCCCTGCTCCCCGCCCTGGCCCTGGACCCTGGCCCTGGCCCTGGGCCCTGGCCCTAGCCCTGGCCCTGGCCCTGGCTGTGGCCCTGGCCCTGGCCCTGGTTGTGGCTTCCAGTAGGCAGAAAACTGCCAAAGAAGGCCCTGAGCTCACAGGAAGCCCTGAAAGGAGATTCTTGCCATTGTGGAGACTTTTCACGCCCTGAAATTTTCTGTGAGAGGGCCCTTCAGCCCAGACCGTCCCTACGCAAAACCTGAGGGGGGGGGGGTCCTTTGCCTTCTGCCCCCAAGGGCACCCCCTCAAAGTCGCAAATGTCCCAAGCAGTACCAGTAAGCAGGGGGGCCCTAAAACCTTCGCCAAAGAAGGCCCTGGAGCTGACAGGAAGCCCTGAAAGGTCCGACCCCTCGCTTTGACCGCTCGGCGTGGGAGGGGATTCTTGCAAAACTTGGAGACTCTACACGCCCTGAATTTTCGGTGAGAGGGCCCTTCGGCCCAGACCCTCCCCTGCGCAAAACCTGAGGGGGGGGTCCTTTGCCTTCTGCCCCCAAGTGACCTCCGAAGTCAAGGGACACCCTTGGCACCCCCTCAAAGTAGCAAATGTCCCAGGCAGTGCTCGACATGCTGCCTTCTGGCCCCAGATGATCTCCGACTTCCTAGTGTCCCAATCAGCCACTGTTCCCAAGTGACCCCCCCAAGGAATCGCCAACAGCTCGCCTCAAGTCCGGCAAGAGTTCACGACTCGCAAATGTCCCAAGCATTCGCAGTGTTTTATCTTAGTGTGCTCTGAACATGTTCGATATGTGAAATTTTAATGGCTGGCTTGGCTTTGGCTGGCTCCGGTTTGGTTTCGTGATGAGTATTGTTTGGGTGGCCTCGGGGTGGGCATGTCTTCACACTACTGCGTTCAGCTGACCAATGCTACACCCTAAACCCTAAACCCTAAACCCTAAACCCTAACTCCCCAAGCCTTTTCATCCTTGCCGGCTTTCGGACTTGCGGCCAGTTAAACTGATTTTAAATGTGCTTGCCACACGGCGACAGGAAGGAGCGTTCTCCCTCCATGCTAGGGTTTAGGGTTTAGGGCTTAGGGCTTAGGGTTTAGGGTTTATAGGGTTTAGGGTTTAGGGTTTAGGGTTTAGGGTTTAGGGTTTAAGGTTTAGGGTTTGGGGTTTGGGGTTTCAGGTTTGGGGTTTAGGGTTTGGGGTTTAGGGCTTAGGGTTTAGGGTTTACGGTTTAGGGTTTAGGGTTTACCTAAACAGCAGGCCTCGTCACTCTTGGACTGCGGCCAGGATCTCCTGAGGCCACTCGGGGGCGGTTTTGGAATGAATTGCTGGGGCTGCCAGGGTTTGGGGTTTAGGGTCTAGGGTTTAGGGTTTAGGGCTTAGGGCTTAGGGCTTAGGGCTTAGGGCTTAGGGCTTAGGGCTTAGGGCTTAGGGCTTAGGGTTCAATTTGACTCCAAGACAAGGCCTACGTCGGTGAACACGTCGCACTCTGTTTCAACTCTTGGTAGCCCAGCAACCTTGGGGCCTGGTGACTTGAAACAAGGGAACCATGCGCAACAAGAAGGGCAAAAGGGCAAACCCTAAACCCTAAACCTTTATCATGCCTAGGTATAAGGGGTAGGAAAGTATTCAAAGAACGCCGTTGTGTGTGTGTGTGTGTATATGTACGTCGGTCCTTCTCATTCTCGAGAATCGTTGGCAAGCTCGTGGCCTGAAATAAGGGCAATGAAGTACCCCTAAACCCTAAACCCTAAACCCTAAACCCTAAACCCTAAACCCGAAACCCTAAACCCTAAACCCTAAACCCTAAACCCTAAACCCTAAACCCTAAACCCTAAACCCTAAACCCTAAAGCCTAAACCCTAAACCCTAAACCCTAAACCCTAACCCGCAAGCCCGAACCGAAATCATCGACTGCAGAAGTACACCACAGCCTTGGTTTCGAAGATTGACCAGATCCAGATCATCATCGGTATCCCCGACCTGAAAACTTCGCTGGTTTTAAGGTCATCCCAGAGGGTTTAGGGTTTAGGGTTTAGGGTTTAGGGTTTAGGGTTTAGGGTTTAGGGTTTAGGGTTCAGGGTTCAGGGTTTAGGGTTAGGGTTTAGGGCTCCTCTTCACTGTTTGAGAGCACTTTGCATCTGCCCGGAAGTGCTGACGGGCCACTTTGCCACAACGTCGGCCGCGGCGTAGCCGGCGACTTCCAGTCTTCAGGCGTAGGGTTTAGGGTTTAGGGCTTATGGTTTAGGGCTTAGGGTTTAGGGTTTAGGGTTTTAGGGTTTTTGGGCTTAGGGTTTTAGGGTTTTAGGGTGTAAGGGTTTTAGGGTTTAGGGCTTAGGGCTTAGGGCTTAGGGCTTAGGGCTTAGGGCTTAGGGCTTAGGGCTTAGGGCACTGCATTGTCCTGCGCACCTCTGGGTCTACTTGCAAGCTCTCTTGACTTAGTAAGTCTCTACTTAGTGTCCCGTAGAGAGACTCCTATGCTCCCCATTACCCACCTTACTAACCTACTTACTAAGTCAGTAGGGCTTCCAAGCAGGGTGTGCCGTAAAGCCACGACGATGTTGAAGTAGGCTTGCTGGGTTTAGGGTTTAGGGTTTAGGGTTTAGGGTTCAGGGTTTAGGGTTTAGGGTTTAGGGTTTAGGGTTTAGGGTTTAGGGTTTCGGGTTTCGGGTTTAGGGTTTAGGGTTCAGGGTACAGGGTTCAGGGACCCACGTCCAAATGCCGACAAGGAGCTCTTCAGGAATAGTATGGGTCAGCTCGCCCAGGGCAAAAATCACGGGATAGAGACACCAAATCTCCTTGGCTGCATGGATCTGCCAGCGGTGTAAATCTCAAAAACCAAACACCAAACCCCAAACCCCAAACCCCAAACCCTAAACCCTAAACCTGAAACCCCAAACCCCAAACCCTAAACCTTAAACCCTAAACCCTAAACCCTAAACCCTAAACCCTAAACCCTAAACCCTAAACCCTATAAACCCTAAACCCTAAACCCTAGGAGGCAAGATGCAATGGTCCGGGAGGCCACAAACTTGAACTTCCCCTCCGCCTCTCCACCTCCACATGGAACGTGCTGTTGCGATGCCACAACTTCCCCTCTAGTACTACTAGGGGTTTGGGGTTTAGGGTTTAGGGTTTGGGGTTTAGGGTTTAGGGATTAGTGTTTAGGTTTTAGGGTTTAGAGTTTAGGGTTTAGGGTTTAGGGTTTGGGGGTTTGGGGGTTTGGGGGTTTGGGGTTTGGGGTTTGGGGTTTGGGCTTTGGGCTTTGGGCTTTGGGCTTTGGGCTTTGGGCTTTGGGCTTTGGGCTTTGGGCTTTGGGCTTTGGGCTTTGGGCTTTGGGCTTTGGGCTTTGGGCTTTGGGGTTACCCTAGGATGGGCCTTAAAACCCTCTAGAAACACCTGAAGATGAAAAATAGCCATCCTATCCTAGAAAGGGGGGGGAGGGGGTTCTTAAGAAAATAGTAGGGTACTCTCCATGTCTACACTCCAAGCCAGGGAGGGGAATCTGAGTATCAAGGGACTAGAGGAGGGACCCTTATAAGGGAGCTTCAGGGTTATTTGGGGGTTGCTTAGGGGCTACTTAGGTATACAGGGACTATAGCAGGTATATATAGGGGATATTGAGGGGATAAGATTAAGGGTCCCTTCTCGGGGTCCCTCCTTGCCCTAAACCCTAAAGCCCAAACCCTAAACCCTAAAACCCTATCCCACACCTCGCTTCTCAGCCGCGCGCTGGAGCGCGGTGAACAGAAAGGCCACCTGGCTGGGCCAAGGGGCAGGAGAGGTCAGGGTTTGGGTTTAGGGTGCAGGGTGTAGGGTGTAGGGTATAGGGTATAGGGTATAAGGTTTAGGGTTTAGGGTTTAGGGTTTAGGGTTTACAAGGGGCCCTCCTGCTCCTACTTCTGGGTTTAGGGTGTAGGGTTTAGGGCGTAGGGCTTAGGGTTTAGAGCTTACGGTTTAGGGCTTAGGGTTTAGGGTTAGGGTTTAGGGTTTAGGGTTTAGGGCTTAAGGGTCCTCTCTCTTCTCTACCTTGTCAGCTGAGGCGGAGGCCATCCCCGCGAAGCAGACGGCGCCCATGCCAAAGAAGCCCCACTTTCCTGCCCATCGTGCATATGCTCATACACAAAAAAAGCAAGAGAAAAACGACACACGGATATTATATATCTGTAAATATATATATATATACATATACATACACATACATACATACATACATACATACATACATACATACATACATACATGTAAGTGTATATATGATTCAGCCCCGGCGGGCCCCCCCCCCCTCCCCCCTACCCCCCCCCTCAATGGTACCCCCCCCTCCCCCTGTGGTGTGGTTGGGGGTTGGTTTTAGGGTTTTAGGGTTTTAGGGTTTAGGGTTTACGGTTTAGGGTTTAGGGTTTAGGGTTTTAGGGTTTTAGGGTTTTAGGGTTTAGGGTTTAGGGTTTACGGTTTAGGGTTTTAGGGTTTAGGGTTTAGGGTTTTCCCCGCGGATGGGGTACTAAGATGATCCCCCCCCCTGTGGTGTGGTTGGGGGTTGGTTTTAGGGTTAGGGTTTAGGGTTCAGGGTTTTAGGGTTTAGGGTTTAAGGTTTAAGACTTCAGGTTTAGGGTTTAGGGTTAGGGTTTAGGTTTTAGGGTTTAGGGTTTAGGGTTTAGGGTTTAGGGTTTAGGGGTTTAGGGTTTAGGGTTTAGGGTTTAGGGTTTAGGGTTTAGGGTTTAGGGTTTAGGGTTTAGGGTTTAGGGTTTAGGGTTTAGGGTTTAGGGACCGTAGTAGGCTTGGGGGGGGGGGGGGGATGGGTGTGGGGGGGGGGGGGGGGGGGGGGGGCCCAGGACGCTCGACGCTGAACCATATATATATATACATATTAGTATAGAATGTGCTAATATACAAATGTAACAATAGAAATATGGGTAGAGAAGCCCAAAACGTGTAGGCTACCCGCAGGCCTACGCGTAGAGCCTACGGTAGCCTACCCATGGGCCCTGTCGATTGGGCCTGGAGTAAACCCTAAACCCTAAACCCTAAACCCTAAACCCTAAACCCTAAACCCTAAACCTTAAACCCTAAACCCTAAACCCTAAACCCTAAACCCTAAACCCTAAACCCTAAACCCTAAACCCTAAACCCTAAACTAAACCCTAACCCCTAAACCCTAAGTAGGCCCACTGGTAGGCCGGCCCATAGGACGGGAGTAGCCTTATTTTCGGGCTTCTATATGGAAATTTGACACTAATGCAAAAGATATAAGTATAGAATAGTATCAGCATACAAAATACACAAGTATACGAATATACGAATATACTGATCTACTTGAATACTAATATACCTGGTATACTAATCTACCAAGATACGAAGAGAATGTACTGATATACTAGGACACTAAGATACGAATATACTAATCATCACCTGGACGGGGTAGCCAATGGAGAAGCGAGAGAGGGGAGACTGCAACCAAACATCACATCAGAACATGCGATCACCGAGGGGCTGTGCCTGCGCTTGATGTGCTGAGAGCGGCCATCAGTGCCATCCTTTGCCATCCACCGTGCTTTGGCTGGGTAGGGTTTAGGGTTGAGGGTTGAGGGGTTAGGGTTTAGGGTTTAGGGTTCAGGGTTTAGGGTTGATGTGCCATATGGGGGGTTTCCGACATTGGGGGCACCTTCTCGGGGTCCTTATTCTACGGGGATCCTACTATTTGGGGGGCTTGTGTTCGGGGTACCTTGTATACGTAAACCCGCATATCACGGCAGATGGAAGAGAGCGCTGCCCGCGCTTTCCCGCGGTTGGTGCAGCTTGGCCAAGACAGGAGCCCAAAACAAATTTGCATCCCATTGCCACAAGCCCCACCGCCTAGCTAAGACATGAGGAAGAGCTACACGAAACTTTCCCTAAGCCCTAAACCCTAAACCCCTAAACCCTAAACCCTAAACCCAAAGCCCTAAGCCCGGAACCCTAAGCCCTAAGCCCTAATACCCTAAGCCCTAAGCCCTAAGCCCTAAGCCCTAAGCCCTAATACCCTAAGCCATAAGCAAACCTTGCCCAGGGGCAGAATCATGGCAACGTCGATGCCGATCAATGCAGCTGTCGCCTTCATGTCGGCACCTGCCCCAGACGAGACATGGGGAAGGGGGGGGGTTTCCGAAATTCGGGGTGCCGTATTGGGGTTTAGGGTTTAGCTTAATCCTACTATTTGGGGGTCTCCTTTTGGGGTTCCAAACCCCTGCGTGTACGTGGACTCTGCACATCCGGTGCTCGAAGCTTTGTGGCCTCGCATAAGCGCCAGGTCCAAGAGCATCAAGGCCGTTGTGAAGCACCAGTCCACATACCGAAGGCAGTAGACGTGCCTGACGCTTCCGGGCCGAACAATCCCGTCAGTTGCAGCCTCCAGCGAATCTAGGCTAGCAACCTAGGATCAAAAACAGCGCCCTTCTTCGCTTTAAGGGGTTTATAAAGGGAACCGCACTACTGGGCATCCTAGGAATCGAAAGCCCACTCAAAGCTCACACTTTTGAATGCCTGCCATCCACCACGTGCACAAAGAGTCCCGAGGACATGCCCAAGTAGGCGGAGCCCGCGATGAAGGTCACCAAGCACGCGATCTCAGTGAGTGCCTACTTGACATGAGCATTCCGCAGAGTAATAAGCATAACAGCAACCTACTTAACTTGGTAAGACGACGCAAGCACCTCTGCAGAAATCTAAGCCTGGGGCCATGTTGTAGGACCGGGAGCGGTCCTTCTGTCCCATGAAGAACAGGCAGAGGCAGCTCAAGTAGAGAAACACCGAGGACATTCCCATGAGAGCCTGCGCACGCACCGCAAGTAGGCCGGTATTGCTGCAAGAAGGGCTTATACCCAGTTAGCAGGATGGATTTAGGGTTTAGGGTTAGGGTGGGTCGTATACCTGAAACAAGGGGCCCTTTCCAGGCTGATTATGGGGATTCTACGGACGTGTGCTCCAACAGAGCTGGGGGTTTACGACAATAAGGGACCCCCAAAGATAAGCCCCCAAATAGTAGGACCCCCTTAAGGACCCCAACAAGGTACCCCTAAGATCGCAAACCCATATGGCCCATCCCTCCCCGCATAAACCCCAAACCCTACACCCTAAACCCTCAACCCCAAACCCTAGACGCTAAACCCCTAATATCGTAAACCCCCAGTTGCAGAGAGCTGAGCGCCAAGCCTGGACGATGGATTGATCAGGGCCGGTGTCCGTCATTGCTTCCTGGGCAAGACAGCTCGGAGGTGTAAACACAGGGTTTAGGGTTTAGGGTTTGGGGGTTACTGTCTGACGTGCGAGAGGCACAAACTGCAAACAAAAACCGAAAAGCCATGGGGGCTCACAATGAAACGGCGTAGATCCCCAAACAGTACTACGACCAGGTCGACCACGACCACCAGAGACCATGAGGTGACTCTTGAGGACCACCGTACCGGTTTAGGGTTTTGGGGTTTTGGGGTTTCGGGTTTTAGGGTTTAGGGTTTAGGGCTTGGGGTTTAGGGTTTCCCAAAATCGTTCCCCAATGGACTGGGGCGGGATTCAGCGTGCTGCAGGCACCCTTACCACAATGCTTCCCCACTTTGTTGATCATTTTTCGAGGCAAACAACGATGCTGATGCAGGAGCACGGGCCCGCAATTAATGGGAGAGTAATGTGGACCAGGTTTATATTGCTGCTATCGGTGAGTGTATATAGGTTTCCTTATAAGTATTGGGGAGTGTACATATCGGGTGTCCTTTTGGGGATACTCCTCTCCTTCGACGTCACTACTCGGGCCGGTTTCCGCATAGCGTGTCACTTGGCGATGTAAACCCTAAACCCTAAACCCTAAACCCTAAACCCTAAACCCTAAACCCTAAACCCTAAACCCTAAACCCTAAACCCTAAACCCTAAACCCTAAACCCTAAACCCTAAACCCTAAACCTGACGAAGTACCCTCGGCATTCTACTGACGGGAACTCAAGGAGGGGCCTTCAATTTATAAGGGACCTAAGGGGCTCTTTGAAAGAGCCCCTAGGGTGCTACTTAGGTCGGGTATATAAGGACTATATAAGGTACATACATATATATATATATATATATATATATATATATTTTTGTATTTATTCATATAAGGGTTATATAGGGGAATGAGATCAAGGGTCTTTTGCAGGGGGTCCATCCTTATACCTCTGAACGCTGAAGAGCTGCTTCGTGGTGTGCTTTAGATTGTCGCTTCTTGCTCGGACCGCTCCCCGGAGAGTCGCAAAAAAACTCGCGAGAAAAAAACACTGTACTTCACATCATGGGTAGTTCTCTAAATTCGGGTCGGGGATCCTTTTTTTAAAGGCTGCGGCCGTATCATGAGTGCCCATAAAGGGACCCTCATGTAGGAAGCTACCCACATCAGCGCAAACACGTGCGCCGCGCGCGAAGTTGGAGTGGGGAATCTTCCACATGCCTCCTCCCCACCTTGCGGTTGCAGCAGCCAATTCTTCCTTTCCTCAGTCCTCTGAATTGCAAGAACCCCAAATTTGGGGGTTTCCGAGATTAGGGATACCTCATTGGGGTCCTTATTGTAAGGGAACCCTACAATTTGGGGGTCTATCTATATTCTATTCTAGGGGTCCCTTATTTTCGAAACCCCCCCAATGTGCTGGGAAACAAAAGTTTTCTGATTGGTGGCCGGAGTGTCTACTGAGCCAGGCGACAGTGTGGACACTTTGGCAGCAACCGGACAGTTTGAACCGTGTAGCTGCTGTCAAGCGATTGATGGCGCTGAAGGCAGCGTCACCACGGTCATGGAGCTCGTGACTGAACATGGTGCAGGGTTCAAGAGGGTTTAGGGCTCAGGGTCAGGGGGTTAGGGGTTGGTTTAGGAGGGTTTAGGGCAGGGTTTAGAGCACTTTTCTCGCCAGGCTTTCTCCTGATCGAAACGCAAACAGGTAGAAACCCCCAACCAGGAACCCCACAGTCCTCATGTATCAACCTCAGGCCCTACCAAACAGTGTGTTTAGTTTAGGATTAGGGTTTGGAGTGTAGGGTTTAGGGTTTGGGGTTTGGGGACCCCTGTAAACCCCAGAATCCTACAACCCGCAGCCTTAAACCCTTTTCCAGACAAACATTGTGTCTGAATTCATGGTGCATCTGCAGCATCTTGCTGCGTCCAGCCTGCGAAATCTTCGTATTTTGGGTTCGGGGAGGAGGTTCTGGGGGATGAGGGGGGGGGGGGGTTCCCAAAAAGGGTTTAGGGTGTTTAGGGTGTTTAGGGTGTTTGTGGTGTTTGGGGTGTTTGGGGTGTTTAGGGTGTTTAATCCGTTCCCCCTAATATTAAAGGCCCCCCCCCCCCTCCCTTGTATAAAAACCCCCAAAGGGTTTTTTGTATTAGGGGGGGTTCTTATCGTTTGTCCGAAAATCCAGCCCGTCCTTATTGTAGCACGCTGGCTCAGCAGCCCAGCCTAAGCCTAGACAGCTACGTTTGGAAAAGGTTCATGTTTCTGCTTCCGGCTTCCAACCCCCGCCCCCCCTAACTCCCCGCTCTCTCTGTAGAGGTTTTAATCGGAACAGGCGCGGGATCGGGATTTTGGGCCAGGGGGTTCTTTATATTAGGGGGGTATTAATATTAGGGGGAACGGATTAGTGTGTCTTTTTGAGAATTTCCCCCACATGCCCCCCCCCCCCCCCCCCCCCGAAAACATCAACTCCCTTCACCCCTGTAAGTGATGATTGTGGGGAGAAAGCTGGGTGGTTCTTAGTAGGGAATGAAAGAATTAGGGCCCTGTAGAATTCCTTAGAGGGTATATGTAGGGCCCTCATTCCCCCATTCCCTACTAAGAACCAAGGGGAAAAACGAAAAAATGTCGTCCGCAGGCATATTGAGGATGGGGGAGGAGATCGGTCTGGTCCGCAGGACCACTTGGGGGTCAACTTTCAGCACCTTTACCCTAATCCCTAAACCCTAAACCCTAACCCTAAACCCTAAACCCTAAACCAGAAAGCAACCAAGCCAAGAGGCGTGGGGATGTCGGGTTTGGGGTTAGGGGGGCTTCGGGCATCCAGGACCAGAGAAACCCTGAACCATAAAGCTGCAAGCCCAAAACACTTCACTCTCAAGCCAGACTCCCTCAACCTTAAAACCTAAAATCCCCCGTGTGCCCTAAGCCCTACGCCCGGGGCCTTAGCCCTATAAGCCCTAAGCTCGAAGCCCCAAACCCTAAACCCCAAACCCTAAACCCTAAACCCTAAACCCCAAGCCCTAAGCCCTAAACCCTAAACCCTAAACCCTAACCCTAAACCCTAAAACCCTAAGAGGCCTCCTCAGCAGCTGACACACCGGATGCTGGCTTCCCGCCGGGGCGATCCTCCGGAAGCTCCCCCAGCTTCGTCGTCTACCAGCTTCCCTCCCTCTCTGGGGTTTAGGGTTTAGGGTTTGGGGTTTAGGGCTCAGGGCTTAGGGTTGAGGGTTTAGGGTTGAGGGTTTAGGGTTGAGGGTCCCTCCCAGGGACTCCAATACCCCTTAATTAAGGAAAAAATCCTTAAATCAGAATACGGTTCCTTTCACGGTTTAAGGAATGTTCATTTATTAAGAGGTATTCGAGTCTCTGGGATTCTTTAGGGTTTAGGGTTTAGCCTTTCGGGTTTTGGGGTTGGAGGGTTTAGGGCTTGCAGGGTTTAGTGGATAGGGTTCCCTCCCTCTCTGAGGTTTCTTGGGTCTAAGGGTTCAGGAGTTCTGTCTTGATTCAGTCGATACGCGCCCAAAGCATGAAGTCAGCGATTCAGAATAACGTAGGGGCCTTAGTAATGAGAATGGAGTTCTGGGGGTTCTTACGGTATTCTTACAAAGGGACCAAAAAGGGAAAAAGATTCGCAATTATACCGACGCCTCTAGTGTTTTGGGGCACCTTGGGCATTCGGAGGCTATGGGGACTTGAGGTTCCAAAGTTCTTCTAGGGATCTGGGGCTGAGGGTTCCAGGGAGTTTCCCTACTTCCAGGGTTTAGGGTTTAGGGTTTAGGGTTTAGGGTTTAGGGTTTAGGGTTTAGGGTTTAGGGTTTTAGGGTTTTAGGGTTTAGGGTTTAGGGCTCCAGGGAGGGTTCCAGGGAGTTTCCCTACTTCCCTAAGCCCCTGGGCACTAAACCCTAAAACGCCCCTTTGCGCAAGCGAAACCGAAAGCCCATATAGATCCTGCACTCAAACCCCCCCCCGCCCCGCATGAAAGTTTAGGGCTTAGTCACTTAGTCTTAAGCTAGGATGGCCCCTAAAACCCTCAGAAAACATTCTTCCTGAATATGTTATTCTTCAACCCAATAAGGCAAATGAAAAGTGCCTCAAGGGCCTACCTCAAAGGGTTTAGCGCACCTTCTGATACACTGGCCTATCCGGAATCTGCGATGGAAGGGCCTGGTAATCCCTTCTCTTAAACGCTACACCCCTAAACCCTTAACCCTTAACCCCAAACACCCCAAACCCTAAATCCTAAATCCTAATCCCCAAACCTAAACCCTAAGCCCTAAACCCCGAACCCCAAACCCTACACCCGCAACATCCCTGAGGTCGGCAGTCCCCGGCCTCCTCGGGGCGTCAGGGTGCGGATGCGCCTGGCGGAGGCGCCCCCGGTGAAGGGGGAAAAGGAGGGACCCCCTAGAAGGGACAGGGTTGAGGGTTGAGGGTTTAGGGTTTAGGGTTTAGGGTTGAGGGTTCAGGGTTTAGGGCTTCAGCTTATTCCCCTAAATAACCCCTACATAATGTAGTCCCTACATACCGAAGTAGCCCCCCAAAAAAAAACCCTGGATAACCCCTAAGGTCCCTTTGCAGGG